TCTCTCTCTCTCTCTCTCTCTCTCTCTCTCTCTCTCTCTCTCTCTCTCTCTCTCTCTCTCTCTCTCTCTCTCTCTCACGCGCGCGCGCGCAATCTCTCTCTCTCTCTTTCTTACGTGCAATCTCTCTCTCTCTCTCGTGCAATCTCTCTCTCGCGCACAATCTCTCTCTCTCTCGCGCGCGCGCAATCTCTCTCTCTCTCGCGCGCAATGTTTCTTTCTCTCGCGCGCAATGTCTCTCTCTCTCGCGCGCGCACTCTCTCTCTCTCTCTCTCCCTCTCTCTCTCTCTCTCTCTCTCTCTCTCTCTCTCTCTCTCTTTCGTCCGCAGCGTTCGACGCAGGGGACACCCGTTTGCCGGCGTTTGTCGCGTTGGAGCGGTATGGCTCGCGCAGCAAATGAAGTGCGGCCGAACGCGAGTACCGTTTTTGTACCCGTTCGGACCGTTTCCCCTGCGCCACCACCGCAGCAGACACCCCGCGAACTCCCTGCAGGACGCAAATGGGTTTGCGAGTTTTTTTTAATTTTTTTTTCCAAAAAAAAAAAAAAAAAAAAAAGAAAGGTGCATGGGGCGGTACCCGACAGCGGACACTACCACCCCACACTTTCACAAAACCCCTAACCCCCCCCCAAACGTGCGGAAACGCGGTTCGCGGACCCCGTTCATTCGTGTCCAACGAGCGTTTGAATGGGGATTGAACTCGAATTCAACGCGTGTTCAATTTTTCAACGCGAAACCCGCGTTGAATCGATTTTCGGACACACAGTCGGTGTGAGGCCATCGTTAGCAGGTCGGCAGCATGGATCGAGTGCACCGTCCGCCGATCGATTGACAAGCACCTGCCCCGAACGCAACGGAGTCGTAGTAGGGTCCCTGCGCATCGGCGGTACACTTCATTTGATGCCCAAAAGCACAACGCCGACCCAACCCGACCTCAGGGACGACGGCACGTGCAGACCGGCGGTGCGTCAAACACCCAGTGTGGAGAACATCACACGAGGAGTGTCGAACATGCGGGCATACAGCGATGGTGGCGACGACGATGGTGGTGGCGGTGACGATGTAGACGGGCGATTCGGGGAAGACGTGGAGGCAGGGGACGACGACGACATTCCTATTCGGTCTTTGGGGAAGACGGCGGGAGGGGGAGAGGACGCAGCAAGGGTGTTGTTCGTGGTCGATCTGTTGGCCGTAAGGGCAGAGGTGGCGTCAGCGATGACGGTGGGAAGTCTGCGACGTACTGGTCCCCGGAAGAGCAAATCCAACTGGTGAGATGCAAGCGGGAGCAAGAGATGCACCTCGCCGGTCTGCGCCACAATTACAGGCGGATGCGGACCAAGGAGTGGAAGTGGGAAGATATTGCCAAGCGCATGGCGAACGCGGGGAGGCCGAAAGACGCGGACGACTGCATGAAGAAGTGGGACAATATCTTCCAAAACTACAAGAAGATACAGAGGTTTCAGAATTCGAGTGGCCGACCAGATTTCTTCCGGCTATCGAATGAAGAAAGGAAGGAGTACAACTTCAAGTTCCGGATGGAGAGGGCGCTATACAACGAGATCCACATAGGCATGGTTGGCAACCACACAATTTTCCCTCTCAACATCGCCGACGCTGGAAGTCCGGACGGGGTGCATCTGCCTAGGCGAGGAGCGGGTGCTGGGGAGTCTGTTGGTAGTGAGGGCGCTGGTGAAGGCCTCCCTGAAGAACGTTCTACTACGAGGGATTCCGACAGCAACGCTGCCAGCGGGGCTGGAGGCGGTAAGCGGAAGAATGCGCGTCAACAAGCGTTGGAGTCGATTGCTGATGTCATGGACCGCCATGGCGAACTGATGTCGTCGACGATCGAATAATCTAGCAAGCGGCAATGCAGCATATTCACGAGGCAGTGTGACATACTAGAGCAGGAAGTTGCAGTCCAGAAAGCGCACTATGCGGCATCCGATGAGACGCAGAGGATGATGTGCCACGCGGTTCTGGAGATCGCTGCTGCCATCCGTGGTCGGTCAGCAACGTAGGGTGCATGGTGTGTGTGTGTGATAGTGAGTGTCAGTGTGTGCGGGTGTCCTCCACAGAGTTGTATGGGTAGTTGTGTTTAATTTTTTTTTCGTCATCATTTTGGATGGCAGTGCATCCTCTGCGTTTTCATGGCTCGTCAACCAGACAGCCGCGTGTGGAATGGGGTTTGAGGTT